AGCCCAGCAACCCATTTTTTTGAAATATATTTTATTGATTTTTTACATTGATGTGCCCACAACCAAGGTACATGCCCTTGACCAGAATCGAACTTGGGACTCTTCAGTCCTCAAGCCAACACTCTAGCCACTGAGCCAAACCAGTTAGGGCGCACTTCTTGGACTTGTACTAGTATGTGTACTTCCTTCACCAAGTTAGGGAAGCTTTCTGTCATTTTTTCAAATAGGTTTTCAATTTCTTTTTTAAAAAATTGATTTCAGAGAGGAATGAAGAAGGAGAGAGAGAGACAGAAACATTAATGATGAGAGAGAATCACTGATAGGCTGCCTCTCGCATGCCTCCCATGTGGGATTAAGCCCGCACGTGCCCTGACAGGATTGAACAGTGACCTCCTAGTTCATAGGTTGACACTCAACCACTGAGCCACACCAGTCGGGCTCTCTCTTTTCCTTCCAGCACTACATGTTGTGAACGTTGGTATGCTTAAAGTCCCAGAGGCTCCATACACTATCCTCATTTTTAAAAAATATATATATTTTTATTGATTTCAGAGAGGCAGGGAGAGGGAGAGAGAGATAGAAACATCAATGATGAGAGAGAATCATTGATCGGCTGCCTCCCGCATGTCCCCTACTGGGGATGGAGCCTGGAATCTGCAAATGTGCCCTGACCGGGACTCGAACCTGGGACCCTTCAGTCTGTAGGCCGATGCTCTATCCACTGAGCAAAACTGGCCAGGGCTGTGGGGTTTCTTATATGTTACTTTTATTTTTTAATAAGTTTGAAATTTTTCAAAATCTGAAGTTTATAAAAGTAAAGGCAGGGTTTCATCCAGGTATCTATGACTATATGTTAACTCTTAGCCATTATAACATTGTTTCCCAGAATGTGGTTATATCACTACATAAGAGGATTTCTGTGGCATGTGGGAAGTATTTTAATATTTACATATTCATCTCAATGTTACCTTCTCTCTTTTTTTTCAAACTTCAACAACCTTTTATTACCAAATTCTTGCAGGTTTAACTTTGAGCCCAGCTAACAGCATCTCTAACGGGACCTCGGATGGAGGTTCAGCCCTAATAAAGATGGTCTCTTAAAGGATTAAAAAAATACAAAACATCCACATAGAAATTGAACTGTGACCTCCTGGTTCATAGGTCGACCCTCAACCACTGAGCCACATCGGCCGAGCATATAAGTATTTTTTTAAAAGAGTGAAATCCCCCAGTGTTGCAGAAAATGGTATCCCAAAGTGATTTCAGTCCAGAAAAAAAAAACCCCAGCATTTAGCACTATGCTGCCTTTTCTCCCAGTTCAAGATGCACATGGGAGAAAACCATTTCCCTTCTTAAAAAAACAAAACAAAACCCTTTCTCCTCCTGCTCAACTTCCACTGCTTATTCCTAGAAACACCCAGAGAACAATATAAACAAGGCCCGGCCCACTTCTCTCCTGGCCTGGCCAGTCTGAAGGCTCACAGCAGGGATTGTTCCCCGAGGAATTTTCTCCTCTGCCACGATCAGGAAACTGGCCCCTGATTCCTGGGAACCCGCCAACAAAAATCCCATTTCCTTCCAGGAGGGGCCTCAGGGCTCTAAAGGATCAGAGGGCAGTGGACCTGGCCCATGTGCCAGGGGGTCCTTTCTATATAAAAACACCCGACACCTTATAACCTAACGTTGAACCTACAGGTAAAAGCGAGCAGCAGCTGACCGAGATAGTAAAAAGGTGCTTATCTCCCCATCTTCAGCCATAAAGGAAACAGAGGGGAGGAGATTCCAGAAGGGAATTTGACCTCCTCTCCTTTCCCAAAACTTTGATGTGTCTTCTCAGCCAAAGCCAAGTTCCTGAGACAGACCCGTGGGCACAGGGCACAGAGTCTGCCTGATAGCGCTGCCGCTCCTGGGCAGCCTGGCCTCCTGGGCAGCCTGGCGCATGGCCCCTTTACTGAGCCGTTCTCCCTGGGGTGCATCGTGTGTAAGGATCACTAGGGCTATTATTTTCTCAGTTCACCTTCGTCACAGACAAATACTTCAACAGCAGCTTCTAGAAACTGCCCGGAGGGGAACCCCCACCTCCCTTTCAGGGTCACGGATCCTTCCAGGTGATGGGCTCCTTGCCCGTCGTTTGCAGCAGACCGTTGTTTTTAGAGAAATGTCTGCCCCCAGAGAACCCTCTGTACACGGACAGAAGGCAGGGGTGGGCGGTCTGCAGGATGCGATGGTGCTGCTTCCTGTGGATGGCACTGCCCTTCCTCTGCGCATGGGAGCCCCAGAGCATGAAGACGAGGCCACTGGAGTTCTGATGTAGCCAGGACACACCCGCCTCGGGGAACCGCGCCCAGCCCTTCTCCGTGTGAGACCTGGCCTGATGCGCGGGGACCGAGAGGACAGCGTTGAGTAGAACACCTGGCCTGGCCCGCCCAGGCCCCTCTCCACGGCCAGGACGCACAGCACCGTCCATGTCTGTGGACGGCGCTCCGTGAATGTCTTCCACGCCGGGCGGAGGAGGAGCTGCCGTGCGCTTGACTGGGCCCATGACGGGGACCCCGGCCCAGGGTGACACCTGCACGGCTCCTGTGCTGCACCTTCGGGTGCATGTGGAGACGCCGTGGGGTGGATACACGGCTT